TCGCGGACCTTGGCAAGTTGCCGACTGACCCTTCTACAAGCGTCGTGTTCTGATCATTCAAAGGCCCGTACCTGAGGTCTAAGATGTCCTAAATCTCAGGTTCACAACTTCAGAGTCATCTCGAGTCCCCTAACCTTGCTTTCAAATCTGTGAAGCTTTGTTCCGAGGCCCTTCCCAATCCCGCGAAAGCTTCCCCCAATCTCAGGACCCTCACACTTCGACTCTCATGTCCGGGTCGCGATGTGAAAGTCCTCCTCTGGAGATGGCACGCCGCTCTCATCGAACTCCGCATTCCTCCTGTACAAAGTTGAAAGGTTTAGGGCTTAGGGTTGCCAGGCTTAGGAAAAACACTGAACCCTTAACCGCTTGGGGCTTGGGGTCGGAAGGTTTAGTGTGTGCTTTAGGGTTTTTGAAGTCCTGGGTGCATTGGCTATGCGGGCTTTTCTGACTGAGAGCTTTGAACCGCTACGAGCTTGGTGTCTTCAAACCCTGCATTTTGGCCGGTTGGGTGGCAGGGCGGGTGGCCGACAAGATGATTACAGATGTACTGAGACAGCTCAAACCTGAGACGGCTGCTGTGAATTCGACTTTACTCTGCCCAACGCTGAGCCCTCCTTTAAGGTGCAGCTCAAGACCTGGACACTTACACCTACGTGTAACTCCGCTCGAGATACTGGGCAGTCGACTTGCACCTGACCTCCCAGATGCATAAACAAGAAAGGCAACCTCGGTCATCTGACCATGAACATCTCAAACCTGAGCATTGGTCCCGATAGACTCTAAACAACAGAACCAAATGTCCCAAACACAGCGCTAGAAAAGTGCCCCCTTTCTTGCGGCAGAACAAAATACCACAAGCACTTTCCTGACATCCCAAACTCCGCTCCAAGGCGCAGACCCCAAATTCCCCAAATCCCTGCGCCCTGAATGCTTTGAAGAACCATGAAAAACACCGGACTTGAAGAAAGGGCCGATGGCTCATTGGAACTTAGAGCTTTCGCACTTTCCAAGTCCCTCTGACATACACGGGATGATGCAGGGCTTGTATTATGGAATCGTGCGCTTTTGCTGAGACTGTCGCGAGTCCTGGAGAGGGCACGATTAATGTGCGCCTGCTTATGCCTATGCTTTCAGTTTCTTCAGAACGTGTATCCGCAATACCTACAGTACAACACATGGATTCATTATTCCGTGGGAGTTCCGATTGTTGAATTTCGATGGTTGAATCTAAACTTATGCGGCTTAACCTTTAGGGTCTAGCATTGCCAGGAAGGCTTTCGACCCTGAACGGTTCATGGGACGATATAAAGCCAGAACAATCAGTAACAGTACTCCTCAAGGTTCCCAAATGTTTGGAGGGACCCAAGACCCCAGCCTACTTATGCAGGCCCCTAGACTACGCCCACCAAGGTTTTCATCTCCTTTGGATGTACAGGGCGAATGCTGCACCGATGCCTTGTGCTGCACTAACTCAGCAGGGGCTTGAAGTAAGATTGTCTTCTGTTAGTTTCTTTGCGGTATAAGGCTGTAGCAAACATAACCCAGAAATGCTTCCGACACAGAGCCCTTGAACTTGCAAAACCGATACAGGCCCACACAGTTGACAGAAACTGCCGAAAAAGCACTGAGCGTAAACACAATGTCCGGAATTCAACCCATTGAAGTAAGGAACTTGACTATAAGGACCAGTATGTTTGTGGGATTATGCTGCAGATTACGTTGTTTAGGCCTAGGCCATGCGGGACTAGCACTTTGTGGTCTTGGAGTTTAGTTTCAGGCCCTGACTGCCTTTACATCAGAGAATCTTCAGCTGTGAAGTACAGCACCAAAAACTGAAACAGGGATCGTGGCCCCTGTTCAACTTCAAAGCTCAATCGCATCTGGGGAAAAGAGGCCCAATAATGAAGAACATTAGACGGAAACAAGGCCGCTTATTTGTGGCCAACTTGTGCTGCTACTGCTCATCGAACTGCTTCATCCGAGCGGCAAAGCCGAACGAGCGACCCGAGGATTGTCCGTGGCCTGCCCGCAGTGCGCAAAGAACGATACACACAACTGTCAAACCAGTCAGCAGTTTCGGGCTTAAGGCGTCGTGACGCGCTCCTGTCCCAACGATGTCGAAAAGGCTCCAGGGCAAAAACCATTGAAGAAAGCAGTCGTCCGCCGTTATACTGGCGACAGTACTGGCAGTAAAGTCAAACGACAAGAAACACCTAAGCACTTCTTGAAAACGTCTAACTGAACCTTGTTAAAGCCTGGGCTTGTTGCTGCAGAATCTTAAACGCGCCACCCAAATCCCGAAACGCCCTCAACCCTGAATCTCTCAGGCACCGACTTTCGTCGCCGCCCACCGGCTCCTTCAGCGCCACCCCCATCGCCCTCAGTGGCTGCGCCATCGGCTCCTTGAGAAATACAGCGTACGGCATTCAGTGTATAGGGCTTATAAGGCATTCATCGTCTGCGTCGGCTTCTGTCTTGGATCCCTGCATCTTCCTCAGTCTCTACATCTCTCGCTCTTTCTCTATTGGCAGTTGGAGGATCCTGTTACTGCCCTCCCCTTCTTCCTTGCCCTCCACGGCCCTTCGCCGTCTCCATCCCCCGCTACACCCAAAAACCCTAGCACCCGAAGACACGAGACCCTCAAACGCGAAAAACCTTAACGACTTAAGCCATGTCACCATTAAACCTCGAACCCCAAGACATCCCCAAACCCTAAACCCGAAACCACAACCCCCAGCACCCAGAGCGAGCCTCCCTCTGCTGCCCCGCGCCGCTTTCGAAGCGCTGAGGTCAGCATGGCAGACGTTTTCTGGTCTCGACGGAATGTAGGGACCTCAATAACTAGAACCGGGGTTGTTAAATATGCTATACCACAAGTACATGGGGACTGTAAGGGATATGACTACTACTTCATCATGCTTTCGAGTCCATGGAAATAGGAAACACAGGTTCATGCCCGTATCTGATGCAGGGTCAGGATTCGGGAGGTGATCAGGTCGTGATGATCATGGCGTGGGTGTACTTCGAGCTGGCGAAGCAGCGTTGCACATGCATGGCCTTGGACCACAATTCGGCTTGGGACGGCGACTGCAATCTCGAAGCCGGATCCTTCAGCCGTGAACCCTTTGAGATTTCAGACCACCCCATATGTGGCCCCAAAAGGGATGCTGCTGGAAAGCTTGTCGTCCAACGAGGAGGCTGGGCAGTTCTGAGTTTGAGACCTGGCCTTTATACCCTAAACCTCCTGGGCCTCAAAGCCCGAAGCAGCAAACCAAAACCTGAAGCCACCTTTGCTTTGTTGCTAGCTGGCGAACCAGGTCCCGCGTCTGCCTATGTCGTGAAGCCTTCTGAAAGGTCGCAAGCTCAACCAAAAACACGTAGAAAAAGGCTCGTTGGGTTTGTAATAGCTTTCAAAACGAGGTCGTCAGAGTGGCGGAAAAAATCGGGGGGCTCAGGCTGTTCTCTAAAAGCCCAGTCTACAGATGCAGAAAGGAAAACACCAAAAACAAAAAAAAACAACTAGGCTCTATTTCTTGTGGACTCAAGCACTCGCACCATGAAGTCTCCACAGACGGGTGTACTACGAACTGAAGCCCCCACCCCTAAACCTCAACCCTGGAATGAGCACTACAGGAGTTTCCACCTCAAGCCCTACACTCCTCCGAGCAAAGGCCCCGTGCGGCCTTTGCCGAGAGCACTGATGGCGGCATTGAGGGTCACCTGCGTGGGATCCTGACAGCATTTCTTGGGCAAAGGGTTAAAAGCCCCAGCACCAGCTTCAGACACATGAGGGTCAGCTTGTGGGTTGGCGGTTGGTTCTGTTCGGGTTTTTGAATTTTGGGCTTTGGGCGTGGAGTGTTGAGGTTTCGACCTGAGCGAGACTCTGAGGTTTAGCGTTTTGAGGTCTCAACTTTGAAAGCACGGGTTCACTGTGTGTTTCAGGGTTTGGGAGGTTGTGCTTTTGAGGTTTGCGTGTAGTCTGGGCTTAACAGGCTGTTCGGATATTGGCTATGTGGAAGGAACATCGCATCAGTGGCACAAGAAACCCAGAAGCCGGAAGCTAGAGGGCTGAGCACCAAGCCGTGACTTACTGACTGAGACAAAAATCTAACACTAAGTTGCTAGCCCTCCAGGAACCAGGGAAACCCTCGGGAACAGCACAAACAAGAACCAGGCTTGTTCCTGCCAACATATCATATACAGCTTTAGACTCTGGTTTTCAGGTCTAACCAACACTGATTTACTGTATCGCTAAGAATCGCGGACCAAGCCGGCAAACAGCCACCTTCCGGAGCCCCATAGCTCCTAATCACAACGGGAACCTCTGTGGAGGGCAGATACGGCGAGCAACTCCCACAGGCCGAAACGCCCCACCTCCACCACACAAAAGATGCACGACGGTGTTATCATGTAAAAACATACATACTCAAACCGTGAAGTACTCAATGTGTGAAGGCAAACGGCAAACAACTCCCAAACTCGAAAATCTGCCGCTTCCGGACTCCAAACCAACTGACCACCCTGCACCTGGGATCCCTGAAGCCCCTGAACTCCCGAAGCCACCAGACCCTAAAAACCCTCAACCTCCCAGCCCATTCCTCGCGGAGTGTACCCAAGATTGCCAAGAGCTCAGAAGCCTCGAAGGCAGAAAGTCTTGCGTGCGGTGCTTTAGGTTTCGTCAAGTCTTAGTGGGCTTCATATTGGTTTACTGCTGTTGAAGGGCCTTGATGTTTTAGGGCGGAAGATTTTGGGGCTTTAGAGCTGAAGGTTTCCGGCCTGGGGTTTCTGGTTTCAGTTTTATGGCCTCGGACTTGAAAGGCGCGAGTCCTCAGTTCAAGGTGCGTGAACCATCAACTAAAACCATGCGAAGCACGGCTTATGTCCGGGATTTGCTTGGTGTACACAGGTCTCAAACTTTGTGTGAACGGCGACATCTGTAATGAACCTCTGCTGTAAGCACGTGAGGCAAGCTCCCGGGTATGAATCAGAATTCCTACTCATAAAGATATGATGCCTTCTCGGGAAAACACGGAGAAAGCACCCGCGAACAACTGACAAAACAACTTTAAACACGAACGTTACGGTCTTGCCTCCATCTTCTGCAGATTATATCGAGAAATCGTGCTATGTGTGCGTTTCCGCCTTAGTACTCAAATGGCTGGCCACAAGATACTGACTCACACGGCACTGACTGTCGAACCATAAAAGCAAAAACATCTTCTGAAACCAACTCTTAACGCAACAGCAGCAGCAATAACAACAAGAAAACAAACAATAATATCAGTATCAATGTAGCGAAGAAAGCAGCCGCCTCAACCGCTGTACCCCAAACTGAAATCCGAACCAGTCAGCAGCCTGAATTGTATACATATGCATTGACAGAGTGAAACAGCAGACAAACCTGAACCCGAAACTCGAGACCCAGATTAACGAAAGAGATTAGCGTCTAAAGAAGAAAGGCTCGTGTCATATTCCGGGCCTGCACCCACGCATCGCTGCAGGAGCTGATGCCTCAAAGACAGCTCCCCGAAGTGAATCTTCGGAGGAGCTGTTCTTGGAGGGCCTATCTGGACTTAGGTGGAGCTGTTTGTAACTTAGGCTGTCGGCTTTCGGTGCATAGCGGAATTGGCGCTTTGACTCGCTCCGAGGTGGATTCGATGACATCGACGACTCACTTCCGAGGTCTTGCTTTGGTGATCATCGGAGTTCTAGACTCGGATCCCAGTCAGGTACAGCAGGTGTGTCGTGTGGGTGGCAAGGGTGGGTCCACGGACGAAAGTGGGCGAAAGTACGCGCGATCTGGGGCATTTCAAACCCGGGCGTGTGGCATTGCATGACACGCACACACAGACAAAGCTGCGTCGAGATGCCGGTGCTGCAGGTGATCACGCCCACTGGAAGCTTCTTGGCCTGGGACAGTCGGTGCAGGTGGGTGGATACAGGCAAAGGCTTTATATTTGGTGCTCAAGGTCGGGGGTGTTAGGATGTAGGAGGTTTTCAGGTTAGGAAGGATATTGAATGTTCTTTTTTACTGCGTTGCAGTCAGACCCTCAGTATACAGTGCAGATTAGAAAAGTTGAACCTGCGTGCAAGCGCAGCCGGCAGGCGCTCGGGGAAAAGTTTGTCTTCGAAGCTTCAAGGCTTGAGACTATCCAATCGAGATCGGCGGATTTTTCCTCCAGCTGCTTGAGATCGTTATTAAGATGCCGCTTGTCGAGCACTGTTCGAATATCTCTTCAGCTGATCTTCTCAACTCTCAACCATGTTCTCACCGTATCAGCCATTAGAACACAGAAGGCGCTGTAAAGTCTTCTGGAACTTCTGGTTCGAAAACAAAAGCATTCTATGGCGTGGGCATGAGTGTTTCGCAATGAATGAAGAAGCCTTGGCCCAAGACCTCAAACCTTAAAATGGAGCCGAAGCCCCATAACCTCTAAACCCTTTGAGGCCCTTGTGACACAGCTGAAACCCTCCCTTCGGCTCAAGCAAATCCGAGGGTTTTGGCTAAAGAGAATTAAGGACGAAGCTCTTTGTAATTGCAGGGAACCCCGCAAGAAACAAAAACTCTCAATGCCCTGCTCAGATAGCAAGGCACCCTGAGCCCGAACAAAGGCCCAACACCCAAAAAACAAAAAACAATTCAAACCCGCACTCTGTTTCGCATCCAGCCGCCTGAACCTGGGCAAAGTAGGCCAGCGAGACTGGCCAAGCGCCTCCCAAAGGCCCACGAAACAATAAAGCGGTTTATGGCTTTATATTTGGTAGGGGCCTTAGTAATGAGAGTGGGGTTTGTGGAATTGCTGTGTAAGGCCCCACAACGAGAAGGCCATAAATATACAGAGCCGAAATATCCGGGTTTGGGCATCCACAGCCCAAATCCTTTCGATCGTAAACTGGATCCCAAGATTCAGGGTTTAAGATTCAGGGTTTGAGGCCCGGAAAAGCCACAAGCTGTGCCGAAAACTCCACAAAAGAGCAGGCAGGACTTCTCGAGCCCTTGACAAAGCAGGCAGCCTGGAGCCTTCAGTAGCGAACTCGAAACATCAAGCCGAAAATCCTAAGCGCAGACCTTTCGGACCTGAAACAGGAAAGAAGTCCATTCTCCATGCACAAACAGCAATCAGACGCATGAGCCCATTGACAGACCTCTTGGGTTGAGGGGGGAAATTTGTTACCGCAACTGTCTTGGTAGTTTTAAAGGTTCGGGTGTGCAACTTCAAGTTGGGATTTGGATCTAGGATAAATCTCGAAGGGCTGAACTTAGGACCAATGCAGATCTTCGCTATTAATGTGTGACAGGCACTTGAAACAGACAGAAATAAATTCCCAGCTGGAACCCCCCCCCCACCCCCCCACCCCCCCCCAAAAAAAAGGAAAAAACAAAGCTGCTCTGAACCCTCATCCATCGGTCGAGCCTCCTGCCACGGCCACATAAGGAAACGAAGTTTCGAACTTAATTATGCCATCGGGCAACTCCTCCAACAAATCAAGTTCGTTCGAGTTCCAAATGAGCGAGAGCCACAGGTCCCAAACTGCAAATCCTAAGCCGGAGTCCAAGAATGAACTCTAACCAATCAACCCCTGGGCCCTACGCCTCAACCCCAGGACCGGCTGACCTCGAGGCCGAAGCCCCAAGGCTCCCGAGCTGTGCCCGAAGCCTTGCCTCGATCCGCAGCCGCCATCGCCGCGTTGTAGGAGAATCCATCACTGGAAGCCTGGGCCCCGGCGTGCACATTAGGGGACAAAAGGGTTCTACGAGGACTGTATAAGCATGAAGCGGCTTCCGCTTCTCTTGTTTCAGTTTCAGCTTCACTCGAAGATGTACCGATTTATTCAACAACAGACAAGGTTCAACACAGTATGACCATCAAGCAGACACACAACAAGCTTCTAAGTCTTGCTGACTGAACCGCTGTGGCTTCACTTTTCGAACGAGACGGTTCTGCCAAATTCGAAAGGTTTCTGCGGGAATGTGTACGCTTGTTTTAGGCTAGGGGTTCTTTCGGCATCTGAGTTTGGTGCTTCGAACTAAATGTTTTAGCATAATATAGAACTTCGGCGGTAGCTCGATGATCAAACAAAGACGAAGAGAGCATGGCATCGGCACATGGGGGATGTTCTTAAAGGGTTTCGATGAACCCTAATTGCAAATTTCCTCCAGGCCTACATTACAATCTAAGTCATGGCTGTATATTGCCGCCCTGTGCCTCCACGGATCAATAGAGTTTCAAGCTCAAGTTCAGGGAATTTGCGGAAATCATCTCCTGATTGTTCAATTCGCTCCAGGCGCGGGTACGTTTTCGACAGCCGCGGCTACGAACAAAGATCACTGGAGCAGCTGCAAACAACTTGCAAGCTTTCCCTGGATAAAGTGGCTTTGGAAGTGTTCGCGTTGAAAGCCTAGCGGCGCCGTGGATTGCAGCAGGAATCCCCCAATTACTGTAGCCGTTTCCTGGTGCAGCGTCATTGAGACGCACTCCGAACACTCTCCCAAGCTTGACGATTCAACTTCTGTGGTTTTCGACTTGAACACGTGTTTGAGCCCGCCTTTAGTACATTGCGTTTGAACTTGTAGTGTGCCTTTCTCTTCGCCGAAGCAAGGCAAAGGCTTCAGAAAGGATCAGAACCTCCAGAATAATGCTTTCGGGCCTGGGGATTACTGTCTTGTACAGGGACGAAACGACGACCAAGGGAGAAACTAGAAGCCGTATTGCCATTGCATGTCATAGTGAGAACTTTGTCCTCCAGATCTGGTCCCGAAATGTAGCCAGAACCGTAGAAGCACCTCCCTTATAAGGCTTGTAAGACTCTATCTATTCTGGCAAAGGCGGCATGACGGCCAAAACGACAGACCACTAGAAATTCTGGGAGCCCGATACCGAGGCTCTCTCTGAGCCCACATCTCAAGCGAACACTGGGCACGATGCTTCCTTGCTGCAAGCACAGAGGGACAGCTGCCACTGGCGACCTCCCGTGCAGGTTGAACTGCATTGAAACTTGATGGCTAAGGGCTGGAATCGGATTACCAGGCACTGGGTGCAGTGTAATTAGTTGGCTTAGAGCTTTCATGCTGATGTGTACGACCAATTCTGGCATTTTCTGGGATAATTCGGTTCATTCAGCAGGGCGAGAACAGTCCTAATCAATGGGACTCAAGTACGAAACTGTAGGCCGCCTACAGCCCCACAGCCATGCAAATTGCAGCCTCACTGCAATCGGGTGCCAACTCTGCGAGGGCTGGGATCTCGCAATCGCAAGAGCACCGCTTTCTGGAATCAGGACACCATAGTCAGATTTCAACCCAACATCCGCGCGGTAATGATGGAAGAGGGATTCCGCAACGGCGATAATTGAGAACAGTCTCATGTTTGTCTCAGCTCCCCGCGGCTCTCGGTGTATCTTTGTGCGGGCCACAATTAGCGCGCCTTAAGTCTTTAAAGCGTTCATAAAGTGTGGGGTCAGTGGCATCCAGCTTTGCAACCTGTCGGAAAGCAGACCACCAGATTCCAACAGACTCTGCACAGCGCTGCAAGCCAACACTGGTGCCATCCCAAATCTAGCCTCAATCGTATGATTTGCTGAAATCTACAAAGGCATCTGAACCGTTAACCTAAAGCTTTCTTCTCATCTTACACAACTGTGGACTGCTGTGCAAGCGATGCTGTTCCTTGTTCTCCAAGTTTTCCGCTAAACCTGCTGTCGCTGCACCTGAACCCCTAATTAAGCTTTCCAACCCCCAAAGAACCTTCGAACTTCAAACCCATCGACAAAGACCGTCCGCCGCGCCTCTCGCCAGGGCCGTGAGGCCTCTGCAAGAGTCCGCAAGCCAGGTCCGGAACCAATAAGCCGTACTGCAAACACTGATACCTCGAAACCGAAAAGCTCAACCCTCTAACCCGCAACGGAACTTCAAAGTTTCAAAACCCTTGCTTCAACATGGAGCTCAGATAACAAACACTCTGTTAAGCCCTGCATCTAGCAGGTAATCACGGCTCTTCAGGCTTTCTCGCAGAGAAGGAGTCATTGTAAGCTCTAGAGAGGTCGTCAACACCCGAGCACGTCTCACAACCTTGCCTGAAAGACTCGTAACAGAAGAAGTCGTCAATATCCAATTAAGTTTGAATACCTCAACCCCGAAGCCTGCGGCCTCAAGCTAAACGCATGGAGCCGTTTGTAGTTTCATTCCTCTAGACAACAAGCAAAACTCTATCCCGTCCCTTTACCCTACATAACTGCACGCGCAGACTACAAACTCCTGTCCGAACCTGCGAAAACTCTTTTGAAACCGCGTTGAAAAAGACGGCGCCAAGCCGTGGGCCAGAGTTCAGCTGAGTTGTTCCCAGCTCCAGCTGATGCCGCGCAGCAATCCTGGGTGTCTGTTAGGTTGAATGGGCCACCGGGTTTAAGGTCTAGGCGTCTGGGGTTTAGAAGTTTAGGGCAGCCCAGGTTCGGGACATCCAAACAAAGCGCAACACCCAATGCCCCAAAGCAAAGCTCGAACTGCCGATTCAGCCTCAACTCCCGAAACAAGCCTCAAACCCAATCTGAATCCTACACCGGAAGCTTCAACGATCATGTTAACCCTCTATATTGAGAATCACGAAACAAGGATGCATGTATTTGCATGTGTATGTGCATGTAAATGTAGATGTAGACGTAGATGTAGACATGCAAGATTGATGCCATATACAAGCGTACAGAAAACACGCTAAAGACCTGCCCTATGAGTCTGCATCAGAAAGTCTGAAGGACGTCGATGGCGGACTTCCAGAGCAATCCCGCGGCCGTGGCGCCTTCAGACCAAGCTAAACCTACGGTTTGCATCGCTTTGGATTGTGCTGATTGAGGTTTAAGCCATCAGGCTTAAGGCTTTAAGGATTCTTGTTGCTTTTGGCAATGTAAGCCGGAACCAACTTGAAACAGATTTCGGGTCGCCTTGAGCTTTAGGATAAGTGAGGGTTCAAGGAAATATACATGGTTAGTGTTTTCATGTCAAAGTTGACGGTCGTCGTTTCAGTTTAGGATGCAGAAACCTGGAGAGTGGAAAGCAGAACGGAGGTGGTAGCGTGCTGGAAATGTGTACGTCTATGCCCCTAATCCTAACAGTCCCAACAGCTCTGCGACACTTAATTCTAGCCCTAAAGTCTTTGGATGTCGCTGATAACGCAAAGCAGGTGAATGCAAAGGACCGCCTGTCAGCAGCTAGCCATCTGGTGGTGGAAGGAATGGAGAGCTGCAGCGGACAAAGAAGTTCTACTTGACTTAGCACAATACATGCACACGATTATTGTTACCCATCTTGGGGGGAGCTAAAGACAGGAGCGCGGTTGTTTTTGCGGCCTTTGAGTAACACTAAAATTAAAAATTAAATGCGCCTCATTGAGGCTTTCAGTTTGCAAGGAGAGAATCCCCGCGACACACTGTAAGACGCGTGGCCGCTGAGCTCAGTGAGGAGAAAGTCGAGCAGAAAAGATCGCAGCTAGGTTCGGGGTGAGCGTGGTCTCCCGGCTTGCCACTGGCGAGTCTTCAAGGGGAATGTCTGAACGGGAGTGCGAAGCAAGAAGAAAGTGTAGATTCCAACAAGTAGTAGCCCATGTTGATCAAGTGACTTGGGGAGGTGTCAGCTGTGCAAAACAAGTCGGGAGCGTTCCCTGAAATGCATAGGACGCCGGGCTGTACCGTTGGATCGTTCTGTGAGAAACCGCCAATGAAGACGAACAATCCGAATTATCTGGAGATAGGCTACATGATACCGATCTTGCCCCATTGGGTGGGAGCGATAACGTACATCAGCTAATGCGCATTACCGAATATTTCAACCGACTTGATATTGTGGAAGCATCCAAGGAAGTGATCTGCTGTTGTCTTTACAAATTTACTCTGACTAGCAGCTCACATGCCCTGGCATTGAGCTCTACACCTTCATTCCCTCCAAGGATTAGGTGCACGGCTTGGGGCTTAGGGTTCAGGCCTTGCAGGTTTGGGACAAATGCACTGCAACTTCAATCCAGACCTCACTAGACTCACTAAGACTTAGCCCCGCGAAGAATCTGTTGTAAGCACCGACACACCGCAAAGCAAGCTTGCCAATCTCTCAACTTTTATAAGCCCTGCTAACTCCGAAACTCCAGACATCACGATGGTTCTCGGATCGTCGGCCACGGCACCTATGGCAGCCGTCAGAGCAGGAAGATCTGGGCGCAAAGAGCTCACGCGGAGTTGGCGGAAGAAGCCCACAGCCTTTCTTGCTGTGCTATCATAACCTTGCGTGTCCGGTTTCCTGAAGGGAACTCAATAAGGGTTCGCCCCTGGCGTTCTTAAGAATAGGATTGCACTACCCCACAAAGGCTAAAGCTTACTTGCTTGACTACTTAGCTCTGGTTTAAGTTAAGCGATCAGTATCACACCCGGCATTCCTGCATATAGATCAAACAAGACTCTAAGGATGTCACCATATGTCATGTCGGTCTGTGGTGACGTAGTTGCAGGCAGGTGGTTTTGTGGAAGTTTCAGGATGTGTGCTGTCTTCGTGTCGTGTTCGCGGAATAACTCCCTGCATGATGAGCGTGACGCCTCCATATTTACAACCACAAGCAAACATCTGAATAGAAACGGGATTTCCTGAACACACACGACAACGAAAACTCATGCAGCTGACGATCTAAAGATCTGGCCTGCAAGTGGGCTTTGTTTCACATCCTATACTGCTTAGGGCTTGCAAGGCTGCGGAACTGCACTATGTGAGCTTTACAGTTTACAGGCGTTCCAAAGCGCGACCTCCCCAACTCCGAAGCCATGAACATTCAAATCCTGAGCCCTAGTCGGAAACCGGTGCTTTGGGGCTGAAGGTTGCGGGGTCGAGTTTAAAACTTTCTGAGCTCCAGGCTCTTGCAATACACCCTTTCAGACTAAAACTCCAAATCCTGAAGTTGCAGCATCTTTGTATTTGGGGGCCTTGGGTCAAAAATTCCGGGTACGTTCAATACAAAAGTCGCGCCAATACAAAAGTCGCGCTACGTGTGTCAGGTGCTACCCGCTACCGGAAGCCGCCGGCCCGAAAGCCGTCTGGGAGTGCTTTTATTGTTGTATGGTAAATTGGGGAACCTCCAAGGACGAATATTGCTCATTATATTGCTCATTACTCCGAGGCCTGTACCGAACTCTAAACTCTAACCCTGCGGAGGCCGCTACCCGATGCCACCGCCCTCCTCGGTGTGCTGCACCTTTAACAGCAAAAGGAGATAATGCAGGAGTTTGGGTGTGGGATCACTTCTAGGGTCCTAGTATAGCAGGCTCTTTCCTATATATAGAAACTGCCACAAGCAAGGTCAGAGTTTATTGAACTCGTCTGCTTTTCTTACTAAAGCAATGCAAATCACCTGTCCCTTTCATCTTCTAAAATCGTAAAGAACCTGAACTCCGAAGATTCCCAAGCGCGGCTCATATCTTGGGAACCCACATCCCTAGTGCTCGAGGCCGTGGTAGGATTCGACAGTTTAGGGCTTGGGCCTTAGGGCTTAGGGTTCTAGGTTTTTTTTTCCCGGGCTTTCAGTTTTGGGTTTGCGAAAGGCTTAAGGGATTTAGGGCTCAGGGTTGCAGAGCTTGAGTTGAGGGCTTGAGGTTTAAACATCGAGGCGCGAAGACATGCAAACAAAGCTGAAACCTGATACCAAAGCCTGAATTCTGAAACCTGTGTCCAAACCCAGCTGTGCACGAGGCCCCGGCTCATCGCAGTGCTCAGTGCGATGACATTCAGCTCCACATGCCTTTACAGGTTTTCTCAAGTATTTATAATAAGCACTTTACATTGTCCCTGTACATCTTGGGGGTGCGAGTCTGCACTCTTTGTCTCACATACATGCATGTTTATATATACATATGTATGCGTATATATGCCTAGTTCTGTCGAGCGCAGACGGGCTCCCAACAGGTTTGTGAGAACGCAAAGCGCAAATAGGAGGTGCACTACGGCAGTGAGACAAGTTCAGCAGTCATAGAGGATACATTTCTTTCAAGACCAGTAGCGCTGCAATGAGTATGCGTATACAGAACCAAATTATGGACAGGCTCGGATACTGCTTTGACAGTTGTTGTCGGTGTGGAAAGCGAATCTCTAATGTCTTGATAAAACTAGCCAAAATTTAGCTTGTTCCCTCACTATCCTAGACCCATGACCATCATCCCAAGACTCTACACTGCTTCAAAGGCCCTCTTGAATCCTCAACCCCAAGCCTTGTCCTCCTGAAATCCTGCAACCCTGTAAGCATTTTTTTGCAGCCTGCAAAAGCCTCTGCTGGGAACCCTGTACGCCTGTAAGCCCCAAAACCCTACAGTAAACCCTGTAAAGCCTGTGAACCCTAAACATAAACCCCTCAATCCGAAAACCGTGCCCCCGCCCGCCCACCAGAAGCCTGGCCGCCATGATCCGGAGGAGCTCCTCTGAGTCCTTCTCCCTCGCAGCCTCCTCCTCGGCTTCAGGGGCTTTGGGGTGTGGGGGGGTTCGGGTTGATACAGTTTAAAGTAGCTAGGTGTGTAGGATCTCCTATTAGTGCTTTTGCGGCATAGGGGTTGAGGGTTCGGGACTTAGTCGATTTAGGGGTGTCGGGCTCGGGGCTTTGGGATGGTAGACTCTAGGGCTTTAGAGCTTGGTTTACAGGAGAAGCCTGAAGCTGGGGAACATCATTCCCCGATGGCCGTAAGATAAAGCAAAAACGGAATCCCGCACTAGCCATCCTTAATTCATGTTCCCAGTCCCTGGCGTTCACTGTGGGGCTTTGCTGTTTCGGGGTTTCGGCTTTTGGCGGGGTAGTGGCAATGGCATGGAAAACAGAACTATTGGGAGCCGCAGCCTTGCTACGCATGTTACGAAAGCAACGCAGAGCTGATCCGCAATCGAAGGCGGAAGGGTTGCGGCGGAATCGCCGACAGCTGTAGTAGGGCATCGTGTTTGGGCATTAATCTCCTCACGTTGAAATCACCACTTGTTGGACAAGCTCGTACTGTGCAGCGGCTGAAGAGCACGTGCCGGTGATCATCGCATGTGGGATAAGCAACCGAGCACCCTAAACGGATCCAGGCAGCAGCACCCATACCACTGTGTACTTTAGCCTTTCACATCTGATGCAGGATCTGTTTTTATGATTCGACAGGGAGTGCAGCAGTTGGCACTGCTCAACTGCTCAATCAGTAGCATTCGATTGTAGTTAGCCAATCACTGGAACCTCCAAAAAGAACCTGAAGCCTCTGAGGACTTTTGGCCTGGGAGCAGGCTCGCATGCTCAGCTGGTTAGTTTAGCACAACATGCTTTCGGGTTACCTTAGGGTTTGGTGCATGATTCATGATGTGTCATACGTCGAAGGACGGTCTTCGCATTCCCTGTCGGCAGTAGGTGGCCAGAGAAAAACCCGAAGAAACCACCTCGCCAACAAAATTGAAATTTTGCTTTCAGCAATCAGCATTGATATGACTCGTCAACATACCGGAGCAGGCGCATAGAGGGGTGTACTGAGCGCAGTACCACTATCTTCTAGCAACTTGCACAACCGTGCAGGTCCTGATGCGACCTTCAAAACCCGGACGCTTGCAGCCGATTAAGCCTTGAGTATTGAGCATCTGCAGATACAAAGCACATGTCAACCACAAACCTAAACCCAGAACCAAACGTCAAGTATACAAAATTATGCGAACTTGCTGTCTATTTGTCAGAACATGGTTGTAGGATCATCGATGCTACGTGGAACACGACGAGTAAATTCAAGGCCTGCACCTACACGCACACAAACCCTATAGAAACCTTGCCTCCACACCCTAAGCCAGAAAAGCCGTGAACTCGACCCGTTCCCGGGGCCCCGCACTACGGCCCCCAAGGTGGCGCCGAAGATTGCCGGAGTTGGGAGCATGCCTCCACAGGGCTGAAAGGTTTGCTGCAAAAGTTGCTATACCGGCTACTGTTACGACTACAGTACGAGTTCCTCTGTGGGTCAAGACGAGCCCTGCTCTAAGCGCGACATACTACTAGTACAAGGGTTCCTTTCTGTTGCTTCAAGGGTTACCACGAGGATGCCTTTCAGGCTTACTATAATAAGGGTTTGTTTCAAGGTTGATGTGAGACTTCCTTTCCGGGCTGTGTGCGTTCCTTCACCACGGACTAGGGGTTAACACATACGGGCCTTCGGAATTTCGAGAGGGCTGTCGTGCATTGGGCAATATAAGCATTTCGGGGGTTTGGGGTTTGTTTAGGTTTGCGTTAAGCAGTTTGGGGTTTTGGAGTTTACTGTAAGACTTTGGGGGGGGTCATCTTCTAAAGAGTTTTGGGGCTGGGGAATTGAGTTTCGATATAGGTTTTGGGGTTGGCCGCGGAAGCAGCCAATGTGGTTCGTGTTGTGCACGCAACTACTGAAGCTTCGAAGGATGCATGGAGCTAGGGTTCCGACCCAATTCGCGAAGCGCTTCTCAAACTGCTTGTGTTTTCTTGGCTTCATAAAATTTTGAGGAGATCTGAAAACCGCGTTCATCGGGGGTTCCTTGTGCCTGTCCGGGTAGCGCATTTTCTCCACGGTTGCGGTTTGAAGAACTCGGGTCTGATAAGCGCACCGGTCATGTCGACATCACCGATTAAACCCGTTCTCAATGAGTACCACGAACAGTCTGAGCGTTGTTTGACCCAAATCTACAAGGCCCTCATTTGTTCGTTTGGCTTCGGGTTCACTGCCTGACTACTTAAAACACGGCTGTGCACACCTACGCGAAACCCACATCGAACCTAGCCCTCTCCCCGATCAAACAAAACACCGGCAGTGAACCCTGCCCAGCGACTTCTTGGATATCTACATTGGAATCTACATATATATATATATATATATATATATGTGTGTATATATATATATGTATATTCACGTACAAAGGTATATACACACACATGAAGAGTACGTGTGTGTATATATGTATATATATATATATATGTAGTGTGTAACGCAATACAGGCCCGTGTTTTTCGAGCGCCTGTAGTGTGTTATTTTCTGTATATATACATACATACGTACATATATATATATATATATATACATATTGTGTGTATATTATATATATATATACGCATATTTGTGTGTTTGTGCGTGTCTGTATGTTTGTTTGTCTGTCCGTCTGCCTGCCGCCTGCCTGCCTGCCTGTCTGCCTGCCTGCCTCCGCCCCTCCCTGCCTGCCTGCCTGTCTCTGTCTGTCTGTGTTTCTGCCCGCGTCTCTCTGTCAATCGATCGGTCTGTCTGTCTCTGTTGGTCTATGTATACATGCATGTATGCATGCATGATCATGCCTGCCTGCATGCATGCATGCATGCATGCATGCATGTAAGCATGTAAGTATGTACGGTATTTATGTATGTGTTTATGTATATGTCTGTCTGTATGTCTGTCTGTCTGTCTGTCTGTCTGTATGTATGTATGTATGTATGTATGTATGTATGTATGTATGTACACATGTAAGTTTGTAAGTAAGTACATGCATGTAAGTATGATAGTAGGTGTGTATGGTATGTATGCTGCATGGATCAGCCCAAAACCTCAACTCTAGATCCCCACAAACAAACCCTCAAACACCGGCCTGCTCCCAGTGCCTCGTGGAGTACTGAGAGACAATACTCCTCAGCGCCCGGGAACCCGTAAGGGAACATTGTTACGGAAGCCCCTTTGGAGTAATCCTCAGAGGAACCCTCATAGTAAACCTTAAATGCCATGATATAGTATAGTCTGTTTGGAGCCCTTCCCGAAAGCTCCTGGTCTGTGCATGGCCCGTCCGGCCATTGAAAGATGACTGAAGACTGGTGAAAAAACTTTGCCAGAACTACAGACTTATCGTCCGGTTTGCACTCAAGCCTCGGCGTGAGCACGCCACTTCTGGCTCAGGGTTTGCTTATTTTAAGACTTTTATGGATTTTCAGGGCTAAAATCCCAAACCATTGCACCGAAACTAACAGGACTTTGCAACTGCGGCTTGCACTGCCCAGCCCGTTGAAGAAACTTCTGGGCAGTCCTTCTTGGCATGAATTTCCCTAGAGTCCTTGTCAAGAGACATAAGGCTTAGCATAAGCCCTCTCCCATCATCCGTCGCGACTTCTGTCATGCGAGTCATGCTTGTATGCACCGCCCAGATACTGCGTTCGATCTTCTTTCGAGTGTGACTCTCAGATCCTGAGCAGTCCAGTTGACAGGTGCAGCACAGGTCGTAGCCAGCCGCCGGCCAAGGTGTGTTTTGCACACATCTGTCCATGCCTAAACCGTTACGAAAGCCCTTTATCACCCTATAGATCCCTATAGTCTCTAAACCCCAAAACCCTGATCACCCTAGCCCCTGAACCCTAAACCCTTCAAACCCTGAATGCATTCCTGGAACAAGGATCTGGTTTGAGGATTTGGGTTTGGGTTTGGGGTTTAGGGTTCTGCACAATGTAGGTTGTTGAAGCCACAGGACTTGGCGTGATGCCTTAATTTTCAAACCCTCAACACTCGAACTGTCCTACAAACCCCTCCATACTTCCCTTCAAATCACCAGGCTGGAACCGTTGAATGCCTTGTTCAAGACATCAAGTCAAAGCATTACACCGCCTAGCAAATGCGCAAAACCCTCGAAACCCTAAGTCGTGAGGCGCCGAAGCCCTCTCAACTCTGAATTTTTCGGCCCCAGTGACCCAGCGTTGTGCGGTGGCGCAGGCTGCGATTACGGAGGCGTAACCTCGGGCGGGGGTGCTCAGGCGGAGTATCAGTTAAGGTGCGGGGTGGCTTCAGGGCTTAGCTTGATGTCTAGTATGCACGGCTCGGGGTTGCTGTTTCAGGACTCAACATGACTCAACTAAAGCACGGGAAAAGCATTCGACGCGAAGCGTTCGTGGGATCTCACAGGGTCAAATAAGTGCTACATGATCGTCTGAGCGAATAGCAGTTACATACGACGGTGAAACTCTTGATGGGCAGTCTATGCGATTCAGCTGTGTGGTTCTGATGTGCAGGAACCTGCACAGCTTTGCGACCTTGAGAACAAATTGTACATGATCTAGTGCGAAACACTCAACGACCTGAGACACTAACTCACCCTCTGAACCCGACCTTGCATCCTAAACTCCTAAACGCCTACAGGTCTAGGAAAGCCCGAAGACTGGGCTTAACCTTGAAGCTCTTAGTCACAAGCTCTGAGCAGGGCCCCCTGGCTCGCGGCATCTGCACGGAGGTGTGACTCTTGGTGCCTAGGTGCTCGGGCTTAAGGGTGTAGGTCGCTTTTTGAGGAGCGGAGTTTGACTGTATACGGTTTTGGGGGTTTAGGGGCTGCGTTTGGGTGTCCAAAGGCCTAGTGCCAATTTGCTTTCGTCTTGCCGTCCACTTCACGAAGAGAACTAGAGCAAGATCAGAAGACTCACGCGAGCACACACAGCAAATGCAGAAGCACACGCAGAGGACTGCTTACCTGGATGGGCTCACGGATTAACGGATACTGTGCAGGATTGATGTACGGGATTTGAGTTTTAGTGCCGTCCAAGCTTGTGGGCGGTGCTTAAGTTCGACAAGGAAAATCAAATCCTGAACCTTGACTCCCATAAGTCCCGAACCCTACAAGGTCTACAACTCGTAACCGTTAAGCAACATAATGAACCACGACGCCTAAACGCCCGTACATGCAATACATCCATTTGTTGGTCCGTTTTGCTGAATAATCTGCATTTTTATGGTTAGAACCCCATGAAAGAGACACCAAGCAACCTGAAAACTGAACTGATTTCCGGGTCAAACCCCAGCGTTCAGGGAGGGTGGACGATGCGAGGGCCCTTTTTGCCAGTCTTGTGCGCCGGCAGCTTTCTTCCAGCGATGAACACCGAAGCCAGATGGATGCACCGTCCCAGATCCCAAAAGACCTGAACCTCCAAGCTTCACCCAAGCCTCTGGAGCTAATTCCATGAAACATCACGGAACAGAAAGTAACAGCACCCATGATCAAGGCAGGTGGAGCCACATGTAAGCCCGCTGAAGCCTCGATCCGAAGCCAACAATGCACGTTCCTGTGTGGTTCTCGGGGTTTGGGGACAACACACCACGGTTACGTTTTCAAGGCTGCTAGGGTTTCAGGTGCAGCTAACCTGCCAGTACAGAGCCAAACCCTTATAACTATGAAACACAGTTACCTCACACCCACAAGTCGAGACGAAGCCGAAAGGAGCAGAGCTTTCGTAAGTGTTTTTGAGATGCAGTGAATCATTTCCCAATTGGGAGGGGGAGCGTTCTGCGTCAAGCTTCCTCGGAAACCATTACAAACAGTGTGACAGCCTCTCCAACTCTGCGTTAACATCCAGTAAAGCGTGTGAAAACAGGTAACCTAAAACCGAAACCCCAGGCCGGAACAACAAAGCCCTAAACCCCCGGCTGAAGTGTGAATCCCACTGGCACGAAAGACTTCTGCCTCCATCCGGGCTGGCAACAGCGGAGATTCGGTAGGGGGCTCCAGAAAGGTGACCCCACTTTGTCAGGTCTGTAAACCTAGTTGTTTGGCTAGGCAGGCCCAGATCCCAAGACCTAAATAAACCCCAAACCCTAGAGGAACGCCCTTGGAGGAGCCCCAGCTTCTCGCTCTCTGCTTCTGGACCAACAAGACTCGATCGTTCACACTCGAGGACTGGGGGCTTGGCAGGATCTTTTCGGGTTTAGGATTTAGAGGTGTGCGGTTTAGGTTTGGGGGGGTGATAACAAGGGTTACAAACGGCTTCAGCCCTGGTTAGATCCACTCAACCCTGCAACAAGTCAGGTGCAAGCTGAACCCTGGGGCTTAGAGCTGGGCGAAGTCGCGGCAAGAGCATAGGGAAAAACACAGATACAAGCGTAGGCTGCCAATGGGAATCTTGGCTTTCTTCCGTTGAGGCTTGCCACTGAATCATCAGATGATGGGTTAAGGGATATACAAGGTAAGGACTTTTTCAAATTGATCCGTACCTTCCGCTGACGAAGGCCTACCACTCTCTTGATTCTGACTGTGGCTTCGCGGGCCGGCTGACCATTCTTGTATTGCATCTCTACCGGAAGATCACGTCTCTGGCCTCGGTCCTGAGCTAAACCAACTAGACCTCGAGCCAGTGTTGCTGCTATGCCGCTGCCGCTGTACTGTGACTGCCACTGCTACTGCTATTGCCACTGCTAAGGCAACTGCTACTACACCGCCTACCGCTGCTACAACGACTACGACTGACTACTACGTTTACAAGTATTGCATGCTGTTCACCGCGGAGCCAAGGGCTTTTACCGCGAGATGCACCCAGAATAAATGAACGAATCGAATTCTCTGCTTCTTCTCACAAACCAAGCAGGGACTCGGTTTGATATTGTGGTGGAGGGTTTACAGGGTTTGGGGCGCAGGTTCGGAGGTTTAGGGCTTAGGGTGTGCATCTCATACTCTTGGAAGCGCTGGGTAATTCGTGAGTCGTCCAGCTACGTCCAGGGCGGCAGAGACAGGGCTAGGCTGGATGCTCAAGCCTCACCCAAGTGGGCGTCTTGTATTCTTCATCTTCCTGTTTCTTTCGCCTCGACAGAGGCTACACGGTTTGGGGCACAGCCACGAGATCCGTGGAAGAGGATAAGTTAGTTCATAGTTGCGGTTGTTGGCTTCAATGGAAAACCCACCACAAGCGCAGCTCTTTACACCTTATAAGCCACGGTCACTTTTCAGCATCTTCGTATTGCAAAGATGGTATACTCTTGGGGATCCGAATCTGCACCCTTTTCTGAAAGAACAGCCCCCCAAAAAAGCATGCAACCACATGTCCGAAACTCCAAAACTCTAAACCCTACACATATAATTCCTGAATCCTTCAGGTTATAACTCATACCCCTAAATCCTACCCTCTTTCTGTAGAAGCCCACCACCAAAAAAAGCAATATGGACTTGACGATGCAAGACTTTTGAGGTTCCCTGAAAGAGCCCTCTCAAGCCCTCTACTCTACTATGAAACATTTACAGCACCGTCCGCAGAACAACAATTCCCATGTACGTGGCAGCCTTCAAGGACAGGTTTTGGGGTACACGGAAATGCAGATTGGTCGCACAATTTCGACGGTCGGCCAGAACTCGAAATCGGGCCTGACAAAGGCACAGGTGAGGCTTGAAATAGGATCTGAACGGGTTTAGAAGAGTCTGAAACATTTGGCGACTTAATGATTATGGAGGCTGTTGGGGTTCGTTCAGGATGTAGCTCGCAGTACGTAGCGCGCGGTGCTGGATTCATTGTAGTAGACTCATGTATACGGTATATCTTAAAAGCAGCTCTAACAGCTGGTACTGCAGTCGGGTACCCAAGGATTGAGGCCTGCCACACGAAGATGGAAGCTTCAGACAACGCTGGACCTCAATGTACTAACTTTAAGACCCTCCCCACCCAATCCTAAAGCATCTTTTGCTCCAAACCCTACTGTAGGCTTTACAAACATGCCCCCGGATGCAGCCATTGCTTCGATTTAAGTTCCTGGGCACCCAGTGTTTGCGGCATCTTCCAGCTTCAGTCGTTTAGGATTGGGACAAGAGGGGGCTCTCCCTGAAATCTGATTGGCCAAAGCAAGGCTTTCAGACTGAAAGAACCAGAACGAGGTACACAACAGATGCAACTAGGGTTCCGAAGGAACAAGATTTCCCACTCGAGTTCCTACATCACATCCTTATCCTCTCCGGCTCTGTGCCAATCCGTTGCATACTAGCATTGAAGCCCTCCGAGTCCTACAGTACGCAAAACCCAACAGACTAGGCCTAGTCGAAACCTATTGAATTGAGAGGTGCTGTAAACCTGAACCCTGATCAACCTCCTACAGGACCTCAGGGGCCCTGAAACCCCCAACAGTCCTGAAACCACTAACAACTCTGAGCCGTAAACGAAGAGCCCCGGGTTCGAAGGCACGCCTCAGCGCGCGGACGGAGAGCCGCCCTTCGGCATCCATAACGTGGCACCGCAGCCACTCGCCTTCGGTGTTGACAAGATTTTTGCCAAACCAACGGAAGTTTAGGGAGGTGTAGGGCTTACATCTTAAGCTTTGGCGTCAAGGTGCCGCTACCGAAGAGGCTTTAAGTGCGTAGGCAAGTTTAGAGCCTGCATGGGTGTCCGGAGTTCAGTTTAAACTATAACTAGAGCTGTTGTTGCCGCTATAGTTCTTCCTTTCGCTTGCATCATTGCTGTTGATGTGGCAAGGTGTCGGAAGATGTACTGCGATCCGCATGCTGTGGAATCCTGCCTGCACTTTATCACCTGCGCAGAGACTCCAGAAGGGGGGGGGGGGGGAATGCAGATCGAAAGCTCAGGATAAACGGCCTCAGGGCAGTTCCTCGAACTCGCTGCGAGCCTTTTCACCCAACCCTTTTTCTTTCGCAGAGCTGTGCACAGAGCTAGATGTGACAAACCGAGACAGCCCTGCTAATGCATGTGTGCATACATATGTTTGCACTCACATGTGGTGCTTCTCCCATGCGCCCATATACCAAGCGCTGTAGGCACGAAATACCTAGACACTGAAACTCCGATCAAACAAACATCTCCAGGTGCGTCTGCAGTGGCAACCACTGAGGGCTCCTGAATGGATGATCTCCAAAAGCCGCTCCTGAGCTCTTGGTCGAGTTCAGCGTCTAAATTTGGGGTTTGAGTTTGGGATTTGTGTTTGGAAGTTAGGCTTGTTGGGCTTAGGGTTTGGGCTCAGGGAGTTAAGGGGTCCTAGCGTTGACCAGCAGGGCTGGTATAGCTGGTATAGGGGACGACATTGAGGCCTTTCAGGATTTGGCAAGAGGCTTTCACCCGTCCAACTGGAAGTGATTTTCTGTCGAAGGCGCAAACCAGGTTGTATATGGTAAATGAAGGATTGTGAAAAGTTGCGGCACCAACGGCTCTGCTCAGGTTTGGCTTAAGCGCGACCGTGTGCAAAGTTGAATGCTGTTGCGTGTACGAGTGTTGGATTCTGAAGCGGGTGAAGCTTTGAGGTTGATCTTGGATGTTGTGGGCGGCAACTCGAACAGGCTACACAACGGTGAAGGCGTTTTTGTAGGGGCACCTGGACGGCTCTGTCAAAAATACGATCATTGTTTTCATGTTGGGTGCTTTCCTGGAGCAGTGTCAAAAACCAGGATCCGAAGAAGGCAGCATAGGTTAGCCTAAACCCTACGCGGCCCTACCCGATGAAATTCTGGACCCAGCATCGATGCTGGGCGTTGGCTCGTTGTTGAGTTGCACGAGCCAACCGAGATTACCTTGACCGGGTTTAGGGTGCTGGTTTGCAGAGCTTGAGTGGGTGTGGGGCGGTGGGTTGTCGCAGGGTTGAAGGCTTGGGGTCGGTCGGGCTTGAGGAGAATTTCAATTGGGTGCGCTGTTACAATAGGCCGAGACTGCGACCAATGTCGTCCCCTGATCCATATACCACCTCCCTCAACAAGGATGACCACAGAAGGGATCAGCTTGCCATGACCGTTAAGGAGGGGGCGCTGTTGCTATCCGTAGCAGATGCAACCGGCCCCTCACCTGCTGCTCAAAATTGCAGCCTTTGTCATTATCTACCGTTCCAGCAGAGTCGTCAAGTTTTCATTCCTGCCTGAAAAGCAGGCTTTGTCACAAGGCTCAAACCCTCCAACCCCAAACACATCCCAGACCTCATAGGGATACATAGGGTTTGCAAGGGGCTTCTGCAGTCCCAAGCTATCGACAAATACCCTCCTGAGCCTCAGAGCCTCAAAGCAAAATTCCTCAAAACACGGGAGCAGAGTTGTAGAAACAATCATGCCATGATGCTCATGCAGGGACATACGCTGCAGCAGAAAAAGCAGCAGCACTGAATCTTACGGCACGTCGCGCACTGTCGTGGCTATCAAGGGCGCCATGATCAAGCTGAATCATGCCTTGACAGTCTCTCTCTATATTATATCTGAATATGCCCAAAACCCTGTTCGAATCATGACGGCCGGCTCTACTGTATACTGATCCTCAAAGCCTTAAAGCCCTGACTGCTGGCGTGGCGACGCATCGCGCGGCTATCAGCGAAGCTGAAGGTATCAGCGGGCGATCCAGGATAAATGTACCTTGGCTCCGAACATCCCAATTGGTCTTACCTCCAGAGGGGGTTTGGATCCTGCAGTATTCAAGCCTGAGATGAGTCCCAAACCCTACAAACCACAGACAGAACAAGGAACCGCCAAGCCTAAACCGTACATCTGCATGATTAAACCAAAAAGCCCTCGTAGCCTTTACATCTCGATCAAGCCCTGAGCCTCTAATGACCATCTCGGAATCGGGATCAGAACCCATCCCCAAAGCCCAGCACTCCCAAGGCACTACATCACCTACCGAATCAACCCTCAATGCCCCAGATCCCCGAAAGCAGCCAAATCCCTTCACTCCAGAGCCCGAGCACCCCCGAACCCCAGGTCCCCCCAAGTGTCGATGGCACTATCCTGCCCGAGCGGCCAGAAGTAGAGGCCCTGGAAGGCGCGGGAGCTTTGGGGGTTCAGGGGACGGTTTACTCCGGGAGTGGTGGGCTTAGAGGCTTAGAGTTATTAGAGTATCGGAGCCTGGGGCCAGACTCCTGGAGCGCTCGGCTCGAGTGGTCCAAAGGCGAAGAGCATGCTGAAGCTCTGAGGACTGTGGCTATTGGAACATAGAACAACGGAATCTCCGGTACGGTTTTCGGTTGGTGGCCTCATGGTGAGGGAGGAGATGGTCTCATGCAGCAAAACCTATATGACTTAAATCCAACAGCAACCTCAAAGCTCTACCAAATCCAGTCTGAATGTTTAAACAAGCCTCAACAACAGTCCTGGTCAGTTTGTATATCACCCAACAAAGTAATGAAACTGTATCCTGCGAACAACAGGTGAATCAACACCCAAGTCCTAAACCCGAAGCTCTGAAACCTTGAAGTAGATCCCTGGTGACAACACCACACGTAAGCTGCCTGGATTAGTACCCCGAATGCAATCCTCAATAACTTACTTACTGACTATGAAAAGGAAGGAATAATGTAAAAGGTTAAACATTGAAAAACACACCAAATTGCAGTAAAGAACTGTTTGAATGTGGGGTGTTGCAGAACTAAGCTAAGCTCAGGCCGCGAGGTTTTCACAACTTGCTGCCCAGATGTCCACACCCTGAGCCCGACACTCGGAAACTCGAAACCATAAAGCCCTAAACCCTCGTGGGGACCCGTGTGGTGCCCTAAACCCTAAACCCTTACATCCCAAGGCCGCCTGCCCCGGCCGGGTGAAGGGTAGGGTCGGCCCACCCCGCTCCGCCACCGCACGAGGCGTCGGTCGGAGGACCACGCCATTGAACACCTGCCAGGATTTGAGAGTTCAGCCTGGGGTTTGAGGGCTATTGGTTGAGCGTTCAAGGTTTAGGGCCTTTGAGGTCCAGTGTCTAGGTCTGGGGGTTGGGGCTTAGGGAAAGGATTTGCGCTCAGGGCTTGGGCTTCGGGTACATACTTATAGTATGTAAAGGTAACACAATGTAATATGGTATAACAGAACAGAACAGAGCACGACGTCCGATGCTGTGCTGTACTCTGCCGCACTGTACTGTGCTATCTCATACCATAGCGTACAATGTTTTACCCTAAACCTGAGTCTTACTCATGCTCTTACTCTTTGCCTTACCCCTTTGCGTTACTTTTGTGATTCCAATCGCAAGGAGGACGAGTGCCCAGTTGATGAGTCTCAAACATATGCGCTTCAGGCGGTTAGGATTGTTGGCTTTCAGCCAGGGGGCTACGATGTGCTCGGTGCCGTCGGAGTGGAGCAACGTGGGCCTCCCAAGGAAGCACAGTCCGGTGCGCTAACTTCGTAGGCTTGAATTTGTTGGCGAGCTTTGTGAGCTCTAGCTCCTGGAAAACCATCACATTTTGGGCTACCGGAAAGAAAGGAAGTCTGATTTGGCTGGGTATTGCAAGACATGCTGGATCATCTCACTCCACGCGTTAGATCATGAGGAGGTGCTGGATAGAAATGTCGGCAAGGAACAACTGCCGTGAGTCTGTTTACTCCGTGCAGCAACGGACGGATCTCATTGGAGATGCAATGGTGAAGAAAGCTAGAGATAGACCTTGGTTAGCACTTGGTATCATAAGCATCACGCAGATGATAGGTTGCATCAGGAATTTGAACTGCAGAACCCGTCCCCGGCGCTCCTGTCCGACCATGGACTTGGGCCTCAACCGCAAAGGTTCAAAGACCCTCCGCCCTCAAATTTTCCGAAACCTGGAATGAAGTATGATTTAGAGGGACCCCCCTTCTTTAAGGAGGGGGGATGGCAAATAGAGTCTGCTAACAGAAACTGATGGTTGGATAGCCAGGCCTGCCAAGCAATAGCAACTGCTGTTTGGCCTTAGTAGCCTTAGTATGGAGCCTAGCAAGCCCTTGTAGTCTGGTTTGTTCGTGAGGGTTGCAGCACCAGCCGGCTAAGGCCTAGACACGGAGGCAAAACGTTGATGTTGAGCGCACGTGAGTAGAGCATAGCAGCGCTCTCCAAAGATTGCACTGCTGAGCTGCTGGTCAGCACTAGCAGGGGCTGGTGGGCACCGGTGAGCGAGAATGAGCGCCAGTGAGCGCTGGTGAGCCATGTCAAGCTACGGCGGGGCAAACAGAGTTCAAAGGTTGGATCCAAACCAACTATATATCCTCAAGAACCCTTACTAGCAAACTTCGGGTGAAATCCTCCTTAGGGGTGTCCCTGTTTAAACCGAAATTCACTCAGGCCCACTGCCTGTCCACGAAGCCTGAAACCTAACGGGCCAAAACCCTACATCCTCAAGCCCTGATTTCTACCAGCCCAAAAGTCACTGACCCCTAAAAAGCCCCAAACCCAAGAGTCCCTAAACCCCCACACCCTAATTCCTAAACAGGAACCCTATATACCTAAACTCCTACAGCCCAAAGCCCTACCCCCAACTCTGCCCAAAGCCGATGGCCTCAGGTCTAGATCAACGGGCTGCCGGGACCGCTGCACCCGCCAAGACATCGAATTCACTTCCTGGGCTAAACAGACAAACCCCCAAGGGCCGCATTAAGCACCAAATTTTGGTTCGGCTGTTCTTTAAGGCTTGCGCGCCCAAAGTCTCCGAAGCTCAGCCCAGGTGCTGCGCGTGCTATGTGGCACTTTCGCATCTCTCGCTCCACCTCCTGAGGCTCATCGAGTTTTGCAGGGAGTCTTTGGCGCTTTAGATGTGCACTTAAGGCTGTAAAGATCTCTCATTGTTGCGTCTCGGGGTTTACCGCATGTGCAGCTGCAGAAATAGGACGAGAACGGAGCGAGACTTCAACAATCGCTGGCTTGGAAGACCACTTGCACCTCCACAAGCCATCACCGACCGTCTAGGTTTTGGGTTTTGTTCTGGACCAGGACCCCGCTCACTTGTCTGCTGGGGTGGGCGCCTGGTCAGGCACTCGGCGAGACACTCACTAGAAGCAAGCCCCGCATGCGCAATCGGCAACCTAAGCCTTACCCGCAGCCCAGATCTGAAAAAAACAGTGGGCAGCTCGCAGCTGCGTCAAGTGAGAGATTGTCTAAGGCCCCAGATTGTACAACCCAAATGGGTGTAACAACTTGAGTCCACAAGAAACGTAACCCAACTCGTCTCTGACCGCTCTGTAGTTGCTGCGACCAGATGTCTTCTTCAAGCCAGTTTCCGCTTCGCAGGACACGGCAGTCAAGAACTAACCGAGTGACTCTCGAGGCTATGACACCAAACAACTTCATGCCCTTAGAGCCCTGAACGGATGCTTGACACTTAAAGCCAGGAAGCGTGTGGCTTCGTCACCGGCTTGCCGTTGATGCTAAGGATGAGATCGCCTTAGATTGGTCTCATTATCCTGAACTTGCAGTCCAGCTTCCGCGGCTGCGGCCTGAATGATTAGTCACACCTCCTGGAAGTTGACATTTGGGAGACTCACGGAGGTGGTTGCATGAGGCTAATCATCACCACCATCAACACCAACATCACCATCAGCATCGCCATTAGTGACCATCACCTTCATCTCTTGTGCATCACAGTCTTCATCACCACCGCCATCATTATCCGAGGAGCGCTAAGATAGTTGACCTTCTTCTACCGAAGATTTTGACCACCGTAATACTGAGGCAAAAGACCCTCCAGAAGGACGCCGTCGCAGCCGCCGCCTTGCGATGTCGGATATCCATAAGCAAAAAATATGAGGAGAATCGGCTACACTGCGTAGAATTCCTGTCAAACTGAACCCGCTGAGGCTCGCTTGAATCAATTTGGAATCTGATTTCGGATATGGCGTTTATTGCTACCGAGTGATTCCGAGTAATGCGTCGTTAAGGCAGTTCGCATTCCGGCTGCGCCGATGGATGCACTGAACACCCAGCGCCACCCTCACACGCATCAACAAACCCAACAACCCTAAATCCCACTTGCCGGCGCCTGAAGTGATGCGGCCCACGCGGAGGATGTGGCGCCGGCCCCCAGAGCTGCAAGCGGCCAAGGCCCGCGCGTTCTCCAGAGGCACGCCGTCCTTCAAAAAACGGATTAAAGAGGGATAGGGGGCTTCTAGGGCTTTCCAGGACTTTTTTTATGGGGATTGCAGATGTTAAGCTGTTGGGTTTTCGGGGCTTGCAAGCTTTAGGTTTTGGAGTTGAGGGCTGCCCAAGGCTCTGGGTTTACGAGGGCTCACTGGCTTCACTTCTTTGGTTGGGGTTTTAAGATTTTTGGAGATTTGTTAAAGGGCGTCCATCGACGCTCAGACATGGACATGTGTGTACGCGGCTTCTTCAACATTTTCTTGCGCCGCCTCGCAGGGTTGGCGCCGCAGTTTTTTGTGTGATCCTTGTACATCCCGCCCACAAGTTCCGATACGGGTTCGTGATACTTACGGGCTCTACCGACATCATAGGAGGCTTCCCGCACATGCCAAGATCTAAACACTGGATAACCTCATAGAGCTTGCCTTGCAGTTTGGGGCAAACAAGCGGTCCTCGCGGCGGGCCTTCGCCAAAGACACCTGCACCATCTCTCAAGACCCAGGTGCGCTAGAAGAGTCGTAAACTCCGGCGTATCCGAAGTAAACGAACCTTCTAGGCTAAGGGCGAGACGTCGGGTTCTAGCCAGGATTCAGATTTCAGTACCAGCGTTAAGACCGTTAGCCCAGCATGAAAACTCCCCAAGAAAACGGTTCACGCAAAATCCAGCACTGGCAAAGCCCAAAGTCGTCCAACAAGAAGCTTCAGAGCCCATAGCACGACGCGCCTACCACCTCGATCCTTTCAGCCAGGTTTCAGCCAAACTGCTACACAGCATGGCAAACTCATCCCGCATAAATTGGGGGAGCATCGTTTTCGGGCTTTTCATGTCGCACCCTGAAATCTAGAGGCTTCGCGACTCATTCAAGATTGAACTTCGCTAAGGAGTCCACTCTTCACATCTAGCAACAGGAGGCAGGTGATCTTGGAGGCTTTACGACTTTGCGTTTACGGTCCTGTAGGGTCTGTAGTGTTAAGGTCTCAGAGTCAGGAAATGTAATTACATCGGATACCTGCAAGGCACAACTTCGTGGCGACCCCCTCTGCATAGCTGAAAGGTAAGCACCCCGGACCTCTTCAAATTCGCACTCCAGAGCTGCCACAGCCAACGTGGGGTCCTCATCTACTTTACGACCGTTCTTCCTAAACTGGGGTTGCTGCGGTTCAGGGCTTAAACCCCTCCCCCTAATATTAAACGCGGAGGGACCCCAGCAAAAAAAACGTTAAAGTGTTTTGATTATTTGATGGTATGTATATCTCTACTGCCACTTTGAGGGGTCGTGCTATTGCTCCTGCTCTGGCTCTCGCTCCCGCGACGGCTTTTGCTCCTGCTTCTGCTGCGTCTCTTGCGCCTGCTCTTGCTCTTGCTGTTGGCCCTGCCTTTGCTCCTCCTCTTCCTCTTGCTGCTGCTCTTGCTGATGCTCCCACTTTTGCTCTTGCTCCTGCTCTTGCTCTAAGTCCTGCTCTTGCTCTTAGTGTGCTCTAGGTATTTGGCGCCTCGAAACCCTCCCCTTATTCAGAATAGGTTTTAAAGGGCAGAAATGATTTCGGGAGGATTCGCCCCAGTGTGTTTTTACTATCAGGGGGTGGTTAGTAAAAGGGGGAAGGGATTGTAGTCGAGCCTGATTTTACGGTGGGATTTTGATTGAAAAGGCTAAGGCATCTCCGGAAGAGATTCGAGTGTTTCCAAGTCGCGAAGTTGGGTTTGCGCGTAGACCTCTTTTCGAAGTTCTCAGGGAGATCCCTCCAAGTCTCTAAGCCTAGTACGAAGCAAGTACTCTGTTGCAAACGCAGCTCTATACTTCCGAATTCGGACTCGTGGATGTAGCGTTAGCTCCAATGGTTTCGAAGTCGAAAGCCGAGGTGGGGAGGAAGCGTGGGGTGGGGGCGGGGGGAGGGGGGGGGCGGCTCGGCAGCTGAGGGCACGTTCAGGGTATAAGGAGCCGGGCTGTTAAACTAGACCCAGGCATTGCGACGAGTATTGAATCCATTCCGATTCTGTAAAGTTCCATGAGCTTCTACGAGGTTCCTTCATTGAGTTGTGGGCAGCAGCTTCTCCATCTGCAAGGACTTTTGGTCTTGGGTTGGCCAGAAAAGTCAACCATTTCTTATAACACCATCGTATGCTCAGAACCCTTGCTGAACCTTCCCTCCGACTGTCTTCAATGTAAAGCGCCAGGATCAAGCCGTACAATAAGAGAGACAGAATCATGCCACCAAAAATCCTCTGCAAGCCTCAGCAACACAATCCTCCTACAGTACAGAGCCTTGCTGACACTAGGAAAAACAGAAACCCAAAGCTTCTGAGCACCCATAGGGCTACAGGATCACCCCCCTTAGAGCTCAGGAGCTCTTGAGGCATGTTTTGAACACTACCTCTGCAACATGCTGAGGGCCCTGGCCACAGCTGGCCCTCGCTTGCCAGCCCAGCTGCCCTGCCACCGGTGTTGTGCGGAGGACTACCAGTGACTACCACCTCCGTACAAGAACCATGTCACCCATGGCTCGATTCCTTCTGGTGCACTCACAGGATGTCTCCGGGATGTCGCTGGTGCTTGGGGTCGAGTTGCAGGGTTTGCGGCCAGAAGTGCCAGTTTGCTTCCGGACCATCTGGATTGCACGAGCAAGCCAAGCCAGCCCATTAACAAGGAAACACCTGTCTGCAGCCTGCAGCCAGCCCTGTTGAAGTCTGGCAGAGGACTTGCGTGAACTCTGAAAGCCGCGATGCCATAGGGACTTTTCAGGGCAATGGAATGCAAACAAAAGTGTTCTGTATCGGAAAATTACGTTACAGCGGTGTGATTAACATCAAGACAACCTTGAGAACTTCAACATACCAGTGTACCAGCACCATAGCTTTATCTGACGCGTTGGTATCTGTTGCAAATCAAGCCCGAAGCATAACAGGTAATGCCAGTCAAATCCCAACATCGAATTTGGGCGCATTGCGAGTTAGACATCGAAGTTGTCTGCCAGGCTGTGCCGCGCAGTGCTGTAGCGCTTTTGGATTTGGTAGGCAATCCTCTGCGAGGTTCCTACTAGTAGGATTTCCAACCAAATCACTCGGCACCATGGCCCTAATCGGAAGCTTTAGTCAACAATCTTACGACTCAACACAACACATGTTGTAGCCCGCGATGTAAAGAATCTAAAGTCTCCTTCACTCAACGGTTCTACAATCATTAGACCCTGAACTCCAGCAATGTCCTTTCGGACCCCTAAAGACCGACATCTAGACTGCCTGCACTTCCGATATGCTGAAAATATCGGCAGGCCCTGGCGCCTGCAAAGGCAGGCCTAGAGAGGCCAAAACAGCGGCGAACACCTCCGATGCGCTTGAGCGCGTAGATCCTCCCCTCAAAACCCTCTTAACCCCTGATGAGATTTGAGGTTCGGGCTTCGTAGGAATTGACCCCCCCCCCCCGAGTTTGGGCTCTGTACTGTGGGCTTCCAGCGCAGGACTCAAGGCTTTCAAGAAGGGAGGTCTAGGATTCAGTTGGGGTTTCTTCAGCTGAGGGTTTAGGGTTTCGGGGCTTGCAGATGCGGAGACAGTGCCTAGGGCCGAAGAGGTCCAAGCCAAGGAGTGCAGGGAAGGCAACGGGGATGGGACAGGATGCCCAAGCGAGGCTAGGATCATCTACAACCAGACCCGAAATAAGTAGAAAGGCACGACGGCTCATGTCGCGAACATGAACTTCGCAAGAAGTCTGCACATAACCTACGAAACGGGTCTCGGTCTCATTCTTCTTCACAGAACAATCACGTGGTAGTGTCTGGGTTTGGGTGCTTCCTCGCGGCCTGCACAGGCACACCGGCCAGGTATCGAAGGCTGCCTCACAACATGTTGCCAACCAGACTGACGCACTGTCCATAGAAGTGCGCTAGCCGTAACCGATTATAGATGCGTGATTTGGTTGATGCTACGCCCCTTTAACCTAAAACTTGCACAGAACAAAGTTACGGCTTCTGGGTTCACCCCGGCCCCATGCTATTTTCCGACCGATTCCAGCTGCATGGAATGGAAACTAGCTTCCCTAACCTGATGGCACTTTCAACTCACAGGAACTGTGACTTCGGTACCAGTTCCCGGGTTTCGCCCGCCAGACTGCACTAATAATGTCTTGTCTTGATTACAGGGAGAAAACGCAGAAGCGGAAAGGTGAACGTCCAGTAAATCTCACGTAACGAGATGGGTGAAAACCAGACATCTGGGTCTAAAGGAGTGGATGTGGCATGAACTTGGCTCCCTTACACTCGAAGCTTTTGCTTCTTCGAACAAAAACCTGGAAGATGAAATACTGGACTGCAGGGTGCATCTGAAAGACGAACATATTGAGAGGCCTGTCGGGGCAATCGATGCAACGAAAAACATGCGACTCGTTTTGGTCTTTTTTCAGATAGACGCCACCCTGGAATGTTTGCTGGCACTCTAAACACTTCTATCGCCAGAGCAATCATCATCATCACCAACAGCAGCAACAGCAGCAGCCTCAACATAATAATTACATCATCAGCATCATCACCACCATCATCATCGCCACCATCATCATCAACATCATCATAGCCATCATCTCCGCCACTTTCCCGATAATCACCTATATCGACATGATCTTAGCAGTCGTCATCTCATTCATCACCATCGTCACCCCATCATCATCCTCGTCGTCGTGGTCGTATTCATTACCGTTGTGGTCATGGGCTATCAATGACCAGTCTTGTCTACAGGCTGGCTTGTACTTGTTCTCGATATTTCGAAAGACGGACGACATGCGCCACCAGCGTTTGCTCGTTCGCAGGTACCACTCATCCAAAGTCTGAGAAACTGAGACCTATTCGAAGACCTCGTCGGAGTTCGGCGTGATGTGTTCTGCGATCTACTCAGAAATAGACTTGGGTATGCCGTTGTACTGCCAACCGCCACCTTTGGAGGTCGCTAAAGCAAGCGTCATGTCCGAAGGTCACGGCATGAGCCACAAGCCCATGTAGGATCTCGAATTATACTAGGTATAGAAGGTCAGGCGCTCCGCGGCTCCCCCCCCCCCCAACGGTCCAAGGTCCTGGATGCCCCCTTCTGTGGGTGGGGTGTGGGGTCCTTCTTCCCCCTGTGGTGTGGTTGTGGGGTTTTGGGGTTTAGGGTTTAGCTTAAGCTTTTGAGTTGGGGGTTTTGGTGTTAACTGTAAAAGTTCTAACTCTTCGAGTCGACAAGAGCTTAGGGAGGGTTTGGGGTGTAGGTTGGTCGGGGTGACGGTTTATGTTCTGCTTCAAGCTTAGAGCCTGCATTTAGGCGGGGTTCAGGTTGGGTGTAAGATTTAAAGTATTAAGTACAGCTTAAGGTTAATAGAAACAAGATTATGCCCTACCTTATTGGGTTTATGGCTGGCATAGGGCTTGCGTAAGATCCCGGCCCCACCTGAAAGTCTTTGGGATCGTAGCCCCCGGGGAATTTGGGGCACTGGATCGCAGGAAGAATATCCGAACCCCTTCGAACTTTTCAGGCAAGTTGAGCATCAAACGAGAATATGTTTATGCCCTGAACCCCACCAACACAAGGGCACAACGAACGTCGCAAATCCGGAGGCCTGCCGGGAACTGGGCGAACCAGGCCCGGATGCGGTAAGACCTGCCACTTCAGCGGCTTTGGCGTTCGACATAGGATGCAAGGCTTAGTCCTCCGACCCAAGGTTATGCCGCGCTCCAGGGGGGTTCGGAGCACCTTGTGTTTTTCGAGGTTTTCGTCGAGGAGGCCCTTCTGTAATCTAGGGTGTAAGCGTCCACCTAGACCCCGTCCGTTGCTGCAGAGCATCGATGCCCGTAACACAGGAAAACACATCATATACACATCACAGAATCGATCGTACAGATCTCTCACTAGCATCCTTAGCGATGGGGTTGTCGCAGGGATGTGCAGAGCCCCTTTGCAAGTCTCTGTGGGTGCAAATTCAGTGCCCCGCTGGAGCCACTTGATCACTCGGACCTATAACCCAGCATTTCTCCGACCATAAACTGAACCCGACATCACCCCGAAGCCCTAAAGCCCTGGAGCAAGGTAAACCCCACACATGGACAAGGGTTGAAGGGTTGCCGAGTCACGGAGCAGGCTCGATCAGAAGCCCGCCCAAGCCGTGGAGCGTGTCATTCCTGGTCTGGCAAAAACAAAACAATAGAGTCACAAGAGACACACAAGCGTGAATGCAAGGGCTTGCTAGGCTGTCTTCTCGGGTTGGGGAAGGAGTGGCGATTTACATGGTGGTAGTCAGCTTCAAGCCCACAACGCGGGTTTAGTCGAAAGTGCCACGGCACCCTGTGGCCACAGACTAGCTGACTGGCTGACTATGGGTCTGAACCTCCAAAACTCCGAATACGCTCCTGAACCACTGAACCTCCGTAAAACAAATCGAGCTATTCCCCTAAACTGCAAGAAATGGCCATAAACCCTAAACATGATCATGATGCAAGCACCAAACATGCCCAGGGGCAAGTTACAAATCTCCAAGTTCCTTCCGCGGTATGCCTTGCCGTGCGTAAGAAAGCTTGAGAAACAAGGACTTGTGCTTGAGGGCTGGGGATTTGCGGGTCGGCTCATGGTTTACATGGTCGATACCGAACTTTCTTTGGCTGACAAATTTGGTGTCTACGGGTTCTGGAGCTTAAGGTGCTGGCGACTGTGGTCTTAGAGGCTTTGAGGACACTGTTGAGGGATCAGGCCCCAGTCCTCTAACCATAAACCCCTACCCAATCTCTAAACCCTATGTCGCTGAATCCCTCACCCCTCGCCTGAGACCCATGTTTGTTTGGTGGAGTAGGGCATTCAATGTGCTTCCTAAGCAGCCCTGATGTAGACCCCTATATCGAGGGTTGCTTGTTTGCTGTTAAGTCCTGCAAAGGAGCTCCTGCTTCTCAGAAACCTCACGTGTTCCGCCCGAAGTTTGACTTGAGGCAGTACCTAGACCACCACTTACCTAAGGGATATACCTTGCACTTTAGAGGGATCCTTACTATGAGTCGAGCTCCATGGGCAAGCTGTTTTATTCAACACTCAAAAGCAACGGAAACCTCAATTCCTTTACGATGTCTAAAATTCCGAGAGCCCTGAACTTACCCCGAACCCGAACCCCTAAACCTCAAATCTCGCAGCCTTATATAACCCTAGGCCGTGACTGCTACACTCTGATTCCTGACCCAGCCGAGGCGCTGGAGGTTGTGGAAACGGCCAAACTTTGAGGCACATGCTGCCGACCGTCACCTGTCACCGGGTTAGGGCTCCCTGAGGAGATGTTTGGGGTGAGGGCTGTATCACCAGCACAAAGAGGACTCAGGATCCAGGGCGGGAAGCAGGTCTGAGGCTTGAACGCCTATTTAGGTTGAGAGCTTCGTGTCTAAGTTCTACGGTCCGGCACTGTGAGTGTTCGAGTTTTATGGTGGGTTGCGCTTGCGATTGTGTTGAGGCTGCAGGGTGCTTGCAAAGAAGGCTTGGACTTCTTGACTTAGGAGCCTCCAGGTGCATGCAGCTGCTGCTTCACAACTTACGACTCAGGCTTTCGGATCTCAGCAAAAGAAGCCCACACCGCGCACCCTGCAGTCGGGTTTAAGGAAGAGGGCAGCAAATATCCTAAAGCCAAGGGTTAAGCAGGCTTTGGGGTGCAGGTTGACGGGTTTAAGCATTGGGGCTTGCATGGACGTCGGACCGTAAACCCTCGACCCTCGTCGCTAAAGCTTGGCCGCTTAGCCCTAAACCAGGACGGAGCATGGGAAGGCCTGGCCGCAAGCCGAAAAGCACTCCCCAAACAACCGAAATAATCAGCTCATTGGTCATACGTACACATCTTGTGCCTTATCGCGTGAAACTTCCAAGATGCAGCTTGTCAAGGTGGCCTGCTTCGCTGAGAGCTGATGGTCAGAATGGATGGAGACAAACGACAGAATCTGACCTGATTCGTGCTTCGGGTTGAAGGTGTAAGGTCTAGATTTTGGTTCAAGTTTTCGGGTTGCGACACAGAGAGAAGAAAGTTAAAAACAATCAAGCAAACAAAGAGAAACAGGGAGTGAAACAGAGGAACACAGAGAGGCGGGGAGAGCGAGAGACATATTGAGAGAGAGAGAGAGGAAGAGGGAGGAGATGAACCAAATTACCACTCACAGGGATGTGTTGTTGGCAGTCCTGCAGCTCGACAACGATCTATATTTATATTGTACCTCTAAAGAATAAGCGCATCTTCCGGGCCTGCGCTGAGCTCGTCCGTCTTGGTCGCATCTCCCGCTGCCACATCGCTGAGGTCGATGGAACGAACGGGAAGATCTGGCCAAAGATAGGGCTCATTCGGAAACTTGCTCAAATGTAGAGCAGTGTAGGGTCCGAAAAGAATGCACCAGGGTCTCCCCTGTCTTCCGATGCGATCGAGGTGGGATTATGCAAGGACACGACTACGAACTATTGAGTTAAACCGCATGAACTTGTCCCATGAACTAGTGCAAGTCCTATAGCCACATCCCATAAAGCAAAACTAACCTTCAAGAAACTGCTGTGCAAAACAGCACTCGCAAACGACCGCACGATCTCCCACCTTTGACTGCTGTCGGGGCATAGTGCAACAGCACCTTCGGGGGGCCGTTGTGGCTTCCTCCGACCCCTAGAGAACCCTCAACCGGTAAATTCGAGCATCGAGACATCTGGGTTCGGGAGTACAAGGATACGGGGATGAATGGCAAGGTTTCAAGCGTTGCAGCTATAGAAGTCTGGGTTTTGCGGCTTTAGAGTTTTAGGATTTTTTGAGTTGAAAGTAAGAGCTTGATGAGGTGGGCCTTTCAAGTATTGAAGTCTCGTAGACGTTGGGGCTGACGGTACATAAGCCGAGTAGGGTATCTGCGTCCCAGTGGCCATGTTATGGTGAGGGTGCATGAAGAGGCATGTGGCGTTCACGGTCACGGTCTGGCCAAATGTCAGCTCCACTTCCACGAGCGGCTGGGGTACCTCCAGACGAAGCCCTGAACACTAAGAAGGGCTACAGCGGAAGTATCGGTTAAGATAAGACTTTGTTGCTTAAGAATTTGAGAGGCTGAATTTTCCTGCATGGTTGTTTCTCCACCCGCGTCAAGGCGCCTTTGACTTAAGAATTTGAGCCCCCCTGAAATCTGGTGCACATTCTTAACTCGGAGTGAACGAGACTCCACAAAAACGCCCAAATTAAGAATCCGAGCCCTTAGATTGTTGAATTGAAAAACTAACAGTAAGGAGCTTGGGAACGAGCTGGAGACCTCCCCCCCTCATAGTCTTAACTTTAAAACCTTAATAGCCCTAACAAGGGCTCGTTCCCAAGCTGGACACCTCAGATTCTGAATTTAAAAAAGCTCGTATTAGGGCTCGTTCCCAAGCTGGAGACCTCAGAAACCCTTCGATTTAAGAATCTGAGCCCTTAGATTCTTAGCTTTGACAGGCTCTTATTAGGGCTCGTTCACAAGCTGGAGATCTCAGAAAACCTCCGAATTAAGAATCTCAGCCCTCAGATTCTTACCTTTCAGAGGCTCACATTAAGGCTCGTTCCCAAGCTGGAGACTTCAGTAAGTCTTCGAATTAAGATTGTCGGAATCGGCCATGGCTCAGGACTCTCAGCGAGCTACAGAAAGAGGTGGAAGGATGCTTTGGCATAGTGGATTTGCGGGCTCCTTAATGCCTTTGGTCCTAGGTTCAGTCCCTGGCTGAGAATGTGCTAAGAATCTGAGCCTTCGTGAAGCCTGCCACGACGACGACGACGACGACGACGACGACGACTACTACTACTACTACTACTAGACACGCCCCCCTCCCTCTAGCAATTGCACTTCGTCATTGTCATCATCATCATCATCATCATCATCATCATCATTATCATCACCAACATCACGAAAAAGCAAACACAATTCATCACCAACATCACGAAAAATCAAGCACATTTCATCACCTTTCATCACAAACATCATCAAAAGTACTGTAAATACCGAGTAACAGCGGGGTTGTGTGCTCACGAAAAGGCAACACATTTCATCACCAACATCACGAAAAATCAAACACCTTTCATCAGCTGGCATCACAAACATCACCAAAAGTAATGTAAATACCGAGTAAAAGCGGGGTTGTGTGCGAAAGTACTGCAAATACCGAGGAAAAGCTTTCCCCCACCCAATTTCGAGTTTTTGCTGCAAGCCGTTCGAGACACCAAAGTTTAAGACACACAGTCCCGAAGTAGTGGCAACTATATAAGAAAGTACGACATCACGAAAGTACCGTAAATACCGAGTAAAACGGCTCTTGCGGTGATATTGNNNAGCAAGTCCAAAATCAAGAGGCCAAGTTTGCAAACTCGGCAAGTCGATTTTGAGGCTTCCTTATGATGATCGTACATGACGAAAGTGATGTAAATAACGAGTAAAACGGATGTGCGCTTACGATGGTTTAAAGCAAGTGTAGTTGGTAGGGGCGCCCACTACTACTACTACTACTACTA